AGAAACTAATATCAATCCAGAAACCGCGGCTCTAGCTGCACGTGCTCGCTTTGAATGATCTGAGCCATTTCCTAATTTACAAGCATGAATATAAAACCTAGCAAGACGCCGAGCAGGAGCATGAACCTTGCTCATGGAGCTACTATGCTCAGCGACCACAGAGTAAACAGCTGCTTCAAGAGCTGCTGCTTCTTTCAGCTCATCTTCAAGCGTCTCTGCTCTAGACTCATGCGGAGTTATCAAACCTAACTTGTTGCTCACTCCACTCTCCTTTTTCTTACTATCATCATTGATCATATTTGTAGTTCCGTCAAAATGCACCTGAATAGACTTAAGCTGTTTAAGTCTTGGCAAACCTTCCATTCCTAGAGTCTTTCTTCCCAAGGCAAGAGTGTTTGTACGAAGCCTCATCTGTTTCCTCGCTGCGTCTGGAGGTAGCGGAGAAGGAAGGGATCTGATCTCAGAGAACTGTTTCTTGAGCTTTGAGGCAATTGTATCATTCTTGTCCTTTTGGTCACTCTCTGTGCTCACTACTGCAGCCACTAGTTCAGTGCTGTGTCTCTTTTTCTCTTCTTCTCTTAGTAGATTCTCGATCTCGGAGACGAGTGCTGCCTCGTTGTTACTGTGCTTAAGCGTTACATGTTTCCAGCCTTTCTTCTCATCTTTATTGATCTCCGCTTCTGCGTTCTGCTTTGATTCAACAGTTCATAAATATTTAGTCTTAGTTCTTCAGGAATGCACCAACAAAACACTACTATTGTACATATATTACATAAATTATTTTTGACAATAAGATCTTGACACTATCACAATCATAAAGTGAAATATTTTCTATACAATAGTGATCTTTAACTATAAAAGAGTTCAGAGCAAAAAAGAAGTATAAAACAAATAACCCATACCAATTAACAAATCATCAAATCTTGCTTTCTTAAGTGTTTAATTGCACCAACGAAACATTACTATTGTACATATATTATTACATAAATTATTTTATAACAACCAGATCTTGATAATCTTATCAAAGTTATAAAGTGAAATATTTTGTTTGCAATAGTGACTTTTACAAAAAAAAAAAAAAAAAAAAAAAAAGTTCAGAGAACAGAGAACAAAAAATATTTTTAGATAACCATATCAAATCTACATAGGAGATATTTGCTTAAGTTCGTCAAATCTTATTTTGCTAAAAGCAAGCCAAAATATTTGGCAAAAATAAGATTTGCTTAAGTTCATCAGAGAACAGAGAACAAAATAATGATTTGCTTAAGTTCATCAAATCTTATTTTGCTAAAAGCAAGCCAAAATATTTTTAGATATCCTAGTAAAATAGGGAACTCAAACTATTAGATACTTGAGATATTTGCTACATAGGAGATGTGTGTGATTTTGCCATCTGTATTTTGATGAGAGTAAAATATTCAAACTAAAATAAAATAAAAAAATATTTTTTTGTAACCAAGAATCATAAAAATATCCTAGAATCTAGAGAATAGACGTGCGTACCTCAGATCCAATTCAAAACACAAATGTCACTTATTCAAAGAATAAAAAATGAAATAAATTATTATGAAATGCCGTACCATGGGATTAGCATCACATATAGCTGAGAAAGAAACCCTCCGTGAAGACGAACAATGCGACGAAGCATCATCATCGTCATCCGTGAACGATGCCAAACTAAACTCACTACCTTCTCTATCAACAGATCCTCTCATTTTCGGCTGCGACGAACTGCTACTCCTATAACCTTCATCCTCCCCAGCCGGTTCAATGGTTAGGTAAATCTCAGAGTTCGCATCGTTCCTCGAGCTTTTCTTGAAAGTAAACGGAGCTCCCACGGGAACAGACTTGGTCAACACGCCGTGTTCAGCGAGGTTGACCACAGCCGAGCCAAGAAGCTTGTTCTTGACGCCCTTGTCTTTCTTCTTGGCGTCGTAGACATGAAGTTCAAGAAGATTCTTATGAAACTTCTTCTCGTCCACACCTTTGGGTTCTAGCGTTAGGGTTAGCCTAAGGGACTCGTTGAACATGATCGTGTCTTTGCCCACGACCGCGATAACTGAGCCTGAGTTGTTTTCGCCGTTCTCCCATTTGAGAAGGACGCATTGTGCAGGGACTTGGCTCGTTGGCCATGGCTTTAGCTCCTTGATTGAGATTAGATACTCAACGAAAACTCCATTGTCTCTACGGCTCTTTGTTCGAAGACCCAACACCATTTCTTCTGTTTTTGGATGTGGAGGAAAAAGTGATTGTTGATTATGATTTATTAGAGGGTGGGGGGTTTTGATTGTGGTTTGTAATGGAGTTCATGTTTTTGTGAGAGTTATAAACAAAATTAACCACCTTTCTGAATAGGACGTGGGTTGCACCATCTTGTTTTTCTTCTTATTATACAAAGTATGATTGCTCTAATATACCTTTGCCTTTGTGTTTCGAAAATTTTACTCATTCTACCCATCAGAGTATCAGAGCAAACTAATATATTACATGAACTAGCAAATAATCATATGTAATTAAAAATATGTTCGATAAAATAGTAGTAGTATATGTTTAGTAAATGTTGTTGTTATTCTTATAATGAAAGTTGTTAGAATAATATTATTCTTAGAAAACTTTGAGAGAGTAAAAACATTTTATTTCTACAAAAATGAAGAGAGTAAAAACATTTTAGAGAAAAAAAGTTTTGAAAGAGCAACCGAAGGACATTTTGATGTTAATAAATGGTAGACTTACGTCTGTGGATTCTGCTCCGATTTCAGTCACACAAACTCATATTGATCAATAAATTAGGCTAAGCTTTGTATTCATTTTACATGCGTTCATATGGTATCAGAGCATTCTGTCCTTGCATATTAATCTTCTTAGACCATCCGCAATGGTGATCCTTAAGAGGAATCTTTAGAGAAATATCTATTATATTAAAAGAGAAGTCATGACTCATTTCATGTGTGATATTTTAGTTTAGATCATCTTTAGAACTTTATAAAATTTTACATAACATTATAATATCTTTTCATATCTTTCATATCTTTAATTTTTGTTTAAAATACAAATAAATAGTTTTAAGAAAATTCTAACAAAATCTTTTAAAAATCTTTTAGAATCTTTTTCAAGATATAGATTCAAAAATTATTTGATTAAAATTTTAATCATCATAAAATATAATTAATAATTCATTTTTAATTTATAAAAAAATTAAAATTATGTAAAATACTTTTAAAAATATCCAAAAAATTTGTTTATGTATAATGTAGGTCCAACTTAATTAATTTTTACATAGATTTCAAATTTAGAAATAAAAGAAAATATATAAATTAGTAATTTACATAATAATGTTTTTAAAAATTATTACAAAAATACAAATTTATAAATTTTATATTAATAATATTATAAGTCACATAAAAATGATTATAAAATTGGATAGCATAAAGAATCAAAAAATAGTTATTTATTCATAAATTTTATTATATAATTTCAAATATTTTCGTATTAAAATACCCGCACGGTTGTGCGGGTCGAAATCTAGTTAATTTTATAATCAATGGATCTCATGAACAGTTAAGGATTTTATCCTAAAAATCCTTATATAAGGATTGATCCTTACACTATTCATGGGCTCCACTGCCCACGTGACGGTCCGTAAGTGGTCAGTTTTTGTTTTTTTAAAGAAAAAATCTGAAATATCCTTATATAATCCGAAATACCCCTTTTTCTTTTTACCTAAAGATTTCTCTTAAGGATCGCCATTACGGATGCTCTTAGTAATCTTTTTTTTAACACAATCTTCTTTTAGTCACCTTCTTTCATGATGAACTTGAGAAAATATTTAATGCTCAGAATTATTGAAAACGGTGAATCTTTGAAGACTTATTAATACTAATTAAAAGCTGCATATTTTTTTAGAGTATCTCATTAATCTACTATGATTAAAAGTTGATAATAAAGCCAAAAGAGGCTGTCCACGTGGGCAGAAATAATCTGCCAATCAAGAGCCTTCATTTCGCCACGTCCTCACGCCTTGAGTCTAGCAAACCAGAAAACCAGTTGGTTTTACAACGCGAATTGGAGATTTAATTTGTGTTTGGTTTGGTTTTTTATCTGTGTTCGGTTTTGGCTTATACCGACATCTTTTCACTTTTATTTTTTTCCAGACGACGTAACCTAGGGAGTTCAGAGTACCTCACTCTTCGTCTTCCTCCGATGAGGTTCCAGATCTCTCAACCGTTCTCCAAACAATCAATACCAACTGTTTTGATAATCAATTCCTCTCTTTATCTCTTCAATCCATCAGTTTTGCCGATGGGATTGGGCTTTCCTTTCACCTTCCTTCCCTACTTCTTATTTACAGTCCCTCCATTCTCTGCTTCGATTTTGTTTTTCAAGAAGCTCTTCTTTTTCTCAAAAACGATTCGATGGAACCCCAAAAAACCAACCAGAAGCTTCTTTCATCATCCATGGCCGCTGAACAAAAGAGGAAATCTTCCGATACCTCTTCCATTGGGACCAAATCTCAAGGTGAAGCCGCTGTTATGGCTCCGCATCTTGAAGCTAACTTGGTTTCTCTAATCTAGAAAACCACACTACTCGATTTGACATATCAGGCAGCGGTAAAATATAATTTATTGGTTTTTTCGTCAGTTATTTCTTTTTAATTTTGGGTCATCTCTTATATATTCCATGATATATAAATTAACAACAAAAATTAGAAATTTGTGACATGTCCATTGCTAAGCTAAGATTTTATACAAAAACTTCTTTGCTTACAGAAGAATGTTTTTTTGTTTGTTGAAGATGTAAAATGAACAGCGTAGTTATTACATGTTGGCTCTAGAATCATCTAACTGAGGACTTATGTGTATTTGATTCCCGTACTGAGCTGTTTTTGTGTTTGCAGGATGGAACCTTCATATAAGATGTGGATTAAAGAGAAGATAGAAAGTGGTCGAGTCTCTGTAGAATCAAACCAGCTCTGCAATGAACTTCAAGCAGAGCACAGCTAAATGGCAGGTTTGTTAAAACAGCTTCACACACATCTTTTGAATTATTCTCATGAGTGGTGTTGTGATTTTGAAATCAATTGGAAGAGTTTGAGAGTGCAATAAGGTTGAGTCACGGACACTGTAGAGACGACACTACTACGTTGACTAGGCATAAACATTTTTTCTCCGCTATAAAAAACCAGGTTAATCGAGTACAATCTGCATTATGTGAAAACGGGGAGCAACCTCTGTGTTGGGTGGATCTTAACAAAGAAGAGTGTGATGATCTTGCCATGTTTCTGTCTGTATCCTCTCAGACTTCTGAGAGTTTCAGCAGTGAAAGCATCAACTTGAGTAGATGTCACGGTGAGAGTCCTGTAAAAATGGTACAAGAAGAACTTTAGAATTGATTCTCATGTTGATGCCAAAGAAAAGGGGAAGAAGAGATTTGTGTCAGACATAGAAGCTACTCCTAAAGAAAAAGGGTATAAGCCTCTGTTTTGGATTCAGAGATGTCGTGATTATACCCTGGTAAGGCTTCTGCAATTTGAAAAATCATCCCAATATGATGAAAGATTGGATTATAAGTTTAGTTGTTTACTATTTTTTTCATCTCTTTGACAGAGTTAGATACTATCAAATGCGGGTTTGCGTTCCATTTAACCGACCGGTTCAGCTCATTCTTTCCTTCACGCTACTATTGTTTCTTCCGTGTGAGTCCTTCTCTCTAGGTGATCATATTGTTCCATCAGAGTCTATTTAACAGTACCAGTTTCTGTCTTCATTTCTTTCATTGCAGTACTCCTTCGAGTTTATTAATCTTGAGAACCTAAACTCTGGTTTCAGAAAGTCTCAAGAACAAATATTCAGAAAATCTAAATTATAGGTTCAAATCTTCTACAACAGGGTTCAAACTTTACATCCTTCTTGCAGGTTAATTTCACAGATTCTTTCGTGTGGTCACGCAACTTAGATGCTACATGATATTCAACATCCCTCAAGAAGGGTGAGAGTTTTAAAAAGGGTTTGTCAAGAATCAAAGAAGAGCAAGCCTGCTTTTCAAAAAAAATTTCTCTCATATCCTCAGGAACCTAATATAGCCATACACGGAAACTGTAAAATCGTAGATCTATTTGTAAAACTTGAAGCTACAATTTCGTGAGGTTTGGACGTGTTCCTGAGAAAACCAATGATGCATATTGTGTTCGATGATATATCTCCAATGTTTGTTTGCCTACTTCAGATATTGGTTTGGAACAAACAACATATGTCCCCTTAAATCAATCTATAACAAAATCCATTCCAAAATCATGTGGAAGCCTTTTTAATGCAAGTGCTCTAACCATGTGAAAGAGTATAATAAAGTTGTACAGCTAATATTTAATTAATTATTAAAAATTGTTTTGAACATTTAATATAGTCTAAATACAAATGATTCACCAAAATTTCCATATGAAGCAAAGAAGGTTTGGGAGATTTTCTAAGGGGGGCTATTCAAAATAGACTTTGTGTGGAGTTTTAAAATTTTATAAGTTGAGAGATTTTGTAAAGTAAAAAAAAAAAAAAGTTAAGTAGTTTGGATATATATGAATCAAGTTTTGATATTAGCAATGTGCTATAGATTTTTCTTGGAAAGTTCCCTTGATCCTCTGCAATATTTCACATTCCTGAAATATCAAAACTTGACTGGATCAATATATATGATTTATTTCTCACTTTCTCTTGCTATATTAAAAAATCTCAACTCTAATTTGCTTCCGAATATTTGTGCAAATATTGAACTTATTTAAAGATGTGTTGTAAATTTAACTTAGGGCAAAAGTAAAACATTAACAAAACAGTAGTTAAAGGACAACTAGATATCTACCTACTATACAAGCTCAAATTTTTTTTGTTCCTTAGGATAAAATTATCAAATGATATTCATATATTTATACTAAATTTAGACGGAAAATTATATACAAAACTATCGTGAGGACAAAGACCTAAATAGGGAGACCAATTTTTAGTAAGAAATTAAAATCAGTATTTTTTACATATAAAAAAGTTTTTTATTATAATAAAAATATGCTTTATCATGTAAGAATATTAAACACACCTATGTATAGAATTGTATACAATATATATGGAGAGATGTATCTCTTTTATTTTTATTTTTTAAATGTAAAATATTTATTTTTGGATAACACAATATAAACTATTTTTATAAGATGATAATTATCAAATAAGAAACATTTTAATTTATGATTATATATATATGTATATATATATTAAAAAATCTAATTATTTATTAAAGATAATGAAAATTTTATAACACAATATAAATTAATTTTAGACAATGATAACTATCAAATCAATAAAATTTATTTTTAGTTAATTGTTAATTATATACTAACAAGTCTATTTATTTATTAAGAATAATAAAGCCTTTAGTAGCTTTAACTCTAAATATGAGAATTCAAGAACGAAAAATCATTTTACAAATATTAATATAGATTATTAAAATAAACATAAATGAATTGATTGAATAAAAAATTAACTATACCAAACAAGTAACTTTGAGTCTATGTTCGTTCAGGCCCAGTTCTAAATATTCCCATCCCATCAACAACCTCTACCTTGAGAGTACCATCTGCTTCTCCATAATTAACATTTTCCCGTTGTTTAAGATTTTATAAATTTGTTCTTCGAGCTTATGAAAACTATAGTCTACTTCTACACATTATTCCACAAACGCTTCTATTTCATTATGGATCAAACATTATTTACTACCTGCTTTATTCAATACGAATTCTTTGGCTGAACATATTTCTAAGTTATTAAAAGATTTTATGTATAAACCACCTGCTAATATATATTAGCATCTTGGGTATCAAAAATTTTAGATCAACACTTTTTCTAAAAATACATAAAACCACAACAAATGATTTATCTCCTACAAAAAAATCCGAGTGTAGACAAGTAAATCTGATTTCCCTCAAACACAAAAACCCGAGCGTAGCCCGGGAAAAGGATCTAGTAAACATAAATATACTACACAAATCTTGAGAAATAATGAAGAAACCAAAAATATTGTTTGTTTGTATCTCACTCATGAATAATCGGAATTGTGTGCGTTTCATGTTCGTGCATATATATTGTAATTATCTTTCTATTGACATATACATAACATAGGATTTGGCGAATTTAAAAATATATTAGGGTCGAAAGTTTTGGTCGAATTGGAGATAAACATTATGTTAGGAAGAATATGAACGGTAACTGACATGTGTTAGTTCAGATTTGCATGAAAAATATATTTGTCGAGATCATATAATATGTTGGTATGTACAAACTTGAGAATATAAATCCGTAGGTTCGTCTTGTTAGGTATATTAAAAATCGAAATTTATTTTGATCACAATATGAGAGAAATAAGTAATTAAAAATTAATAAAACTGTAATAATTTTTGAATAAATAAATGTGCCTAGAAAATACATAAATTAAACTAAATTATATCTTGAAGAGATTGGCCAAATTAGTTAAGAATTCTTTCTAGCTTACATGGTTTCTCTGCATGATGGCTTAATTAGAGCGAATATCGGTTTTGAAAGGCTCTCTCGTTCCCAAAATCAGCTGAATGGAATGGTGAAATAAGAGGAGATTTACAACCTATGAAGGTAAACAATGTATATGACTTGGTTGATCTTTTACAAGAACACTATTTGCAAAATCCAATATTCATACAATCTTTGAAAGATTTAAGATTCATCGCAAATTGTCATCTTCCAATTGAACTCGTCCCACTTCATTCTTCCCTTGAATCAAATTCTTATCTTGGTCACTTGGCCAAAGAAATTGTCTTCAAAATCCATTATGATGTCCAGATCATCTAGCCCCACTCTAAGATCCTTTGTTGATCTTCTCGGACAGTCATAGTCGGTGATAGCGCTAACCATGAGCACAAACGAAGATAAGTTCAAACCTATTTTCATTGTGGAGTGCTCTTGCTACTCTACGTGCCGTGCTTACAAAGAGACCTAAGGTAAAGTTTATAAGAGATTTGTTTTTTCAACTATAAGAAAATTTTATATTTAAAGTGAAACTTAATATAAGACAAATATATTTACATCAGAATATGATTTTTTAAAGATATATATTTTTGTGAGCTTAAATATATAACTAAATAACATATATCATTTTTCTGTTAAAAATAATCTATTAATATCTTTAAGCAATGCAAATAAATTACTGTAAAATACAAATAACTAAACTAAAACAAATTTTATAATTAAAATGAAACTTAATATAAGACAAATATATTTACATCAGAATATGATTTTTTTTAAACATATATTTTTGTGAGCTTAAATATATAGCTAAATAACATATATCATTTTTCTGTTAAAAATAATCTATTAATATTTTTAAGAAATGCAAATAAATTACTGTAAAATACAAATAACTAAACAAAAAAAACAAGAAAAAAAACTAAACAAACAGAAGAAAACATAAAAATCAAAACTCAAAGAAAAATATATTATATATATGTCTAAAATGAGCAAAACCCAATACATATTGAAAATATAACAAGAATACGAATAAAATTAAAGTGTACTAGAAATGGAAATTCAAAATGTTGAAAAGTGAACATAAGTTTACCAAATTGGAAGTCGTATGATTTTTCTATATCAGAAATTCGGAAGATTTTTCGAAAGTATATAAAGCTTACGGAGTTGATTGGAAAGGTTTGTGGGCAACTATTTTTTTCTTTCTAAAACCATTTTATGAAACAATCATGATTTAACTTTCAAAAATGAATTTAGAGCCAGAAAAAAATAGAAGAGGAAATATGTTAACTCTAGAAGTCAGTTTATTGAGATTTTGGGCTCGACTGGTAAAAGCTGTAGTTTTGAGTTTTTATGCTTTAAAACTTAAGTTGTAAATTTGTGGCTTTAACTTTACATAAGACTTTCTTTAGATGGTAATGTAAGAAAATTAATAATAAAAAAATTCTTTATATATATTTATTTATATATTTTGTTACTATTAGAATCACACTGCACTTGTACCATATAAACCCATTCAGATCTTAAATATAAAACTGTAGAAAATTGATAAAATTGATTTCTAAAACCAATATATTTGTTTTTCAAAAAAATATCAATATATTTCCTTTTCAAAATTTGATCTGTAGCTTTAGATTTTTTTCACTAACGTTTGATTGCTTTCATTTTATTGATGTATAAAAAAATTGAGGTTGTGTAGAGTAAGCACAACCATCACCAATCATTCCCTTTATTTAGTGTATTGCATATTTTTTAAATAAATCACAGTAAAAAAAATTAAAGTCACAGCTAATATATCTACAACATAAATTTTAAAACAGAAAATAAAAACTAAAATTACACCAAAACCAATCAAGTCCTATGTATGAGTTCAAAAGTGCATACCATGAAGAAATAAGAGGTTACACCAAACCAAACACAAGCGTGCACGGCATTTCTCAGTTTGGTTGGGTCCGAATCTAGGTCGAATTGTGAACATATGTAAAACAGAACAAGTCAAATATATTGTCCAGCTTATATAATTTCTTAGGTAAATGTATAGAATCAAACTATGAATCATCAAACAACCTTTGATCCAAAAAAAAAAAAAAATCATCAAACAACCTCCGATCGGCCATTTTTTTACTGTTAATTCAGTATGCCAATGACAACTATCTTGGATCAGTTATCTTCAGACTGTGCTTGTGGTTTGCATGTCTTTTTTGGACAAAATGTGGTTCGCATGTCAAATGACTTGAATTTTAACATCCCTCAATGAATTAAACCCAATTTTACCATAAAATTCTTAATGACTGAAGCAGCACTGCACCACATGTGCTGGCACCAACGAATGAAACTTGACCATGAGTGTTTTGCTTTGAACGAATCTGATGCTTCAAAATTGAATAGAAATGCGTCTGAATGGTCTGCTCCTATTTAAACACTTTGTATTTCTTTTAGACTTAGCTCAGTGTTAACGAGTAGTTATCTCTTTGCAAATTCAAGTCTACCTGTAAGTAAAGTAATTCAGTATGAACGTCTTTGATCCATGTAACTCAGTTTTTGAAACAGTTTTTAGACTAATAATTTTTGGAGATCATTTTAAAATCACTATCAACTAAAATCGTCCTAAAATTAAACCAACTTGTTTCTTTTCTCAACAATAAACATGATGGTGGTCTTACACCGTTCTGACTTTGATAAATGCTAACAACTATCATTAATACTGTAGTCAAATTCGTCTTTTTTTGTTTGTTTGGCTTTGATTAACAATTGCATAAGCAAAGTAGAATATTTTGAAAAGTTTTTTTTAAACATATTTCGTCTTTTTTTGTTTGTTTAGCTTTGATTAACAATTGCATAAGCAAAGTAGAATTTTTCTTAATTTTGAAAAGTTTTTGTTTTAACATATTTAAAGTATGTAATTTGACTACAGTATTAATTCAAGACTTTCACACTTGAATTATTTTATTCCGTTCAACTTGGTTTTGCACTAACTTTTGTTACGTATTAATTGCGATTTGAATCTTCCACGTCCATTGTCAACAAACGTAGATTCATCACACGTCTTCCCCTTCTCCTATCTTCTTAAAAGCAAAGCACCACTTGATTCAAAACCACTTTCCTCTCAAACCTCGCAACCATGTTCCGTCTCAGAGCTCCCGGCAAGAAACCCATTACCATCTCCACCACAACAACTTCAACCTCCGCCTCAAACTTCCTCTACTGGTCACCAGAATCCTCCCCCACCACCATATCCTCTCCAACCCTTATGGATCCGACCATTTGGTCCAATCTACCACACCACATCCTCGACCACATCCTCTCTTTTCTCCCTTTCAAAACCCTCGTCACCCTCCGAACAACATCTAAACACATCCGATCTCTAATCCTCTCTCCAACTTTCCTCTCCGACCACTCCTTCTCCCTCCCTTCTTTCCTCCTCCTCTCTCACCCTCAGGCTTTTCAGTCTTTCCCTCTCTTCGACCCTAACCTCCACTCCTGGCGCACGTTACCACTCCCTCGCTCCCTCTCGCTAACCTACGCCGCGTCCCTCCTCTCTTCCTCCCACGGTCTCCTCTGCTTCTCCCTCTCCCCTTCCTCCGCTTCTTCCCTCTCCGTCTTCAACCCTTTAACCAGATCCTCCAGATCTATTAAATTCCCGTTTTACCCTTTCCCCTTCGAGCTTCTCTCCCTCGTCGCTTCCCCCGATAGCTACCGGATCTTCACCATCTCCTCCTCTTCCTCGGCCTCGAGGTCAGTTTATCTCTACGATTCCGGCGACCGGTCGTGGAGAAAATTCGGCGGCGTTGACCAAGTCTTACCTCGTGGGTTTAATCAAGATGGAGTCTTTTACAATGGGTCACTGTACTTCGTCAGATCAGAGCCTTTTCTCCTCGTGAGCGTCAATCTCGACGACGGAAAATGGAAAACCACCGCCGGAGACGGAGTCTTTCCGGCGGAGGATGAGATCACGTTCGCTAGATTAGTCAGTGATCCCGAGAGGAAGATTCTTTACATGGTGGGAGGCGTTGGAAGCAACGGGATTTGCAGGAGCATCAAGATTTTTGAATTTAAAGAGGAAACTGAGAATTGGACCGAAGCTGAAACACTTCCCGACATTGTTTGTCGGAAATTTACTTCGGTTTGTTATCATAACTACGAGCATGTGTACTGTCTTTGGCACAAGGAGATGATCTGTGTTTGTTGCTATAATTGGCCTGAGATTCTCTTCTTTCATGTTGGGAGAAGGACGTGGCATTGGGTTCCGAAGTGTCCTTCGTTGCCGGAGAAATGGAGCTGTGGGTTTCGCTGGTTCTCTCTCGTCCCGAGCTTGTCTGCTTCTGTTTAGTTAAATATCGGTCCTCATTATTTTTGTCAGTATTTTCTGTTATTTTCTCTATTTTAAATCTCCTTATTTTTTCTGTTTTGATCTTCTGTGAAATAAAGGTGTGTAATTTTAGGCATTGTTTCTTTCATCATCAATTATCAGTGTCCATTTTTAAAATAAAACCAAGATTTCTGAAAACATTTTAGAGCATCCTCACCGCTAAAATCTATTAAAAAGATATTTTTTAACAATTATCAATGTCCATTGTTAAGATATTTTTTAACAACTTTATAGTAAAAATAGGGGGTTGTTGGTCTGCCTATGCCAACCATTCACAAGGCCAGCCACTCACACGGGACTTTAACTTCGTGGGTGTTGCTAACATATTATAAACATAGAAATGGGGAAGTAAGTATTTAACAAACACCCTACAGAATGATTGATTCATTAAACATACCGTAGGATCCATAAGTATAATCTCTAGGTGTCTCCACCATCACCCAATCCCCTATATATTATTTGAGAATCATTTAAAAAGTTGTAATCTTAAATTTGTAAGAATTAAAAATAATCCCAATCCTATGTGGCATAGCTCTTTGGCTTCTATTTCAAATCACAAGGATTCTAGAGCATGTGATATAATGTATAGTCTGAAAAATATACTCTCTAGCAATATAATATTTCGTAGGTTATAGTTGGTCGCATATATCAAGTATTTATTGTTTTGCATGCTTTCCTTAAATAAAACCTACGGAATTACTTAATATGATTAAAATATATATATATATGACAATTAATGATTTTAAACAATAAAGATTTGGTAACAATCTGTATATTTTTTTCATTTTGTTTATTTATTTATTATTTAAAATAAATTACACAATTACATTAATCATATAATAAAAATCTAGATTTTTTTTTGTGTGTATGTTGTAGTTCGAATTTTTCAAAATGAGTATAAATTACTAAAACTGTTAAAAGTCTCACATAAACTTTTAGGATCAAGGTTTTAGTTTTTTTTTCTATATTAAAATATAATGATTATAAAACCATATGAAGAAATAATTTTAGTTTATATATATGTTTCATATCGTTTTAATTAAGCTATACATCGTATGAAAATACATACTTATATTTTGATATTTGCCTGTAACATATATTGAAAAGTTAATATTTTAATTTTGCAATATGTCATTGTTTTACAATGATTATAAATTATTAAAACTACTAAACATCTCACATTAAAAAATTCGTTGGTGTAAAATTTTGTTACATAATATGCAAATAATCATAAAATCATATGAGTAAAAATCTCATTTAGTAAATATCTATATTAAAAGTGTGCTATATTACTATGTTTATATCATTTAAATTTAATTATATATCATATACAATATATAAGATTGATTATTTTGATTTATTTACCCTAATTGCGAATAAAAAAAGTGATAGTTAAATTTATATGCATACGTCAATTTATTATATAATAGTAACTTATTTATTAGTTATTTAATATATATATTTATTATTTTATTATTTTATAATACGCATAAAACTATAAAATAAAGAATAAATATAAAATATTTATTGTGTATAACGTGCAGATCTAAACCTAAGTATGTTTCTCTTTAATTATTTTAAATCTTAAGTATTTTCTAAACCCCAGGTCAAAATAAACAAACGAAATGAGAATAAACTTCAAAATAAATATTTATATCGAGTAATAACCAAAATATAAAAAAACACAACAAGAGAAAAAATTGAAGATAAATAGGATTGACATGTGAACGTAAACTTCTCATAACCATAATTAATTTTTAAATTGTTAAATCATGATATAAAACTGAGTTAATTTTTAATTTGTTAATTTTTTTAATTTTTAAAATCATTATGGTTATGTTAAATCATGACCATAATTAATTTTAAATTTTTTATTTGTATTTGAAAACCTAAAATATTTTTTTTAAATAATTTAAAATTATACTTATTTTTTTATAAAATTAATTTTTTTTAAAATATATTTTTTAAATATAGTTTTCTAATATTATTAGAAAAATAAATAAATTATATTAAATTAGTTTTGAAACTTTATATATTTTAAATGCAAGTATTTTACCAACTGTTTCTTACAAAAACATTAGGTTACTTGCTAATACTCTACCAATCGAGCCCAATGACACTCCGTTTATTTTTCGTCACTCGAACACTGAAAAGTGAAAAAATATATGAAATCGGGTCCATTAAATTCTAAAATTTGATCTACAGTTCTAATTACAATTGTTTCTAATCCTGTGTATAGATGATTATATAAAAATTCTAAAATTTTAAAATTTCAAATACATATAAAACAATCATATATAAATTTTAAATTTGTCAATACTATAATTTTATATTTTAACTACATATATTCACCATGCGCATGGCGCAGGTCTTATCCTAGTATAAGAATTATTACCTAGATAATTTTATACTCACTAATAATCAAAATTCGCTCCTCTTAAAAGAATTTTTTAGAAAGATCTCAAACAACCTACAGAATGATTCATTAAACATACCGTAGGATCCGTAACTATAATCTCTAGATTCTCTCCACCATCACCCAAAATAAGAATTGTTACCTAGACAATTTTATGCTCACTTATAGTCTTTTTTTTGTAACACTATACTCACTTATAGTCAAAATTCTAAAAATTGTTCTTTTAAGAGTAGCAAATTTTGACTATTAGTGAGTATAAAATTGTCTAGGTAGCAACTCTTATTTATATGATCTTATATAATACTAGAGTCTTTCTCCGCGCTACGCGCAGATATGTAAATAAATAGTTTAGTTTAAGATCATAATTTTCAATACTATGTTTGGATTGAAAACACTGTAATTTTAAAAATTAAGGAAAACTTAGTAATTATTAAATGTCTGCAATTTAAAGGAAAATAAAAAAATAGCTTAAATGATTATTATAAATAATGTAAGAAATAAATTATGTCTTTTGAATAAGGGAAGTAGGTAGCGGTGATGTGGACCATAAGTAGTTACGCTGACATCTTTATTTATATAATAAGGATATATATTATAAAAATATATTATATTATCATATATTGAATTTAGTTATTTAATTTTACTTTTTTGTATTTGTGTTGTACATTACATCCCTATAACTATTGGTCACAACTTTTTCCTCACTTGTGTTATTCAAAACACATATACTAATCACAGATAAAAAATAATAATCTGATTTTAGGTTTTAGTCCATTTTTTAAAATCTTCTTAGCCTTGAAAAACAAACTTTTTAAGTTGATATTTTTAACTATTTGAATTTTTAAAATTATTTTTTTCATCTATTTTAATTTGGTGAATTAAAATTATGATTCTATTTAGTATTTTTTCCACTATATTGGTTCCTTTTAGCATAAATCGTGAAGATATGTATATTACTCTCATGAGTGACAAAAAAAAAGTATATTACTCTCCTTTAGATTAGTATGGAAATACGCACATAAAAAATGGCCTTGCAACAGATGATGAATATATCCTTTGAAAACTTGAATTTGTAAGATCTAACTCGTAAAATTAAGATAAGATGAATCCTCTCTGTAAGAGAATTATTTCAAAGAGTTTAAAATTGATGAAATTATTATCTAATAATTCCTCGTTTAAATTTATATTATCATATATTGAACGATGACCAACAAAGAAATAATTTGTTTCAAATTTCATGGCAATATACTTAAACAAAATATTGTCTTAATAGACCTACTACCAATACAATATTATAATGAACTCATATAACATAAAATAAACGTAGCCAAGAATAAATAAAAGTTATATTCATTTATATGTGACAAATTCTATACCACAACTGATCATCAAATTTTTTTGCTAAATTACTTACAATTTAAGCATATATTTATATGTGCAGAAATTAAGGCATGTTATTGAGATGTATGAGTGTGTATGTGCCTATAGAAAAATATATGCATACATACTTTTCTGCTGTGAATATGTTTTGAGAAAAGTGTAATTGCTGCTCCACATTATGCTGCTTGTCAATAATATTCGTCCACAAAATACTATAGTGAATACATACCATCTTCACTTTTTTAATTCACATCATTAAATAATAAAATTATAATACTATTTACACATGTATGATTATTTTTATATTTGATTATTATAGTTTTATTAAAATATATACAATATTTATGTAGTGTATCCGTATTTTAGGAATAATATAATATCTAGCAAATATTATTGTGAATTAAAATAAAAAAAATATTTTGAACTTTTAGTTTAAACCTTCTTTTCAGTATTAATCTGCACAGTTATCAAAAATTGTAAAGTTACAAATTCAAGTGACATATAGTTGTAACAATACCAAAATAAATAAATAGAATTTTTTAAAAATTAAACCAAGTTTCAGCTTAATTTTTTTTATAAGATTAGATATTTTTAATCATACAAAATATATTTTTCACATGAATAAACTGAATCCAAAATTGACCAAAATAACAAAAATCTATTGATTCCTAAACCAATTTATGAGGACATATTTTTATTACTTGTATTTTTTTTCAAAAGAATGCTGGATGATTTAAATACTTCAAAATTTTGGAATTTGAAGAAAATATTTGTTCTCACCACTTTATTTACAATCATTAACTTTCGTTTTAAACCCAACATGTTATTATAAAGCTCTAAGAAATTATTTTCTCTTTTCATACATTTTTAATACTGGGATAATGTACATGATTTCAGTGGTGAAAATGTCGTGTCTCTGCATTGATTAGGTGCATAGAGTCACTGGAAATGAAATTATTCTTTTATATATTGGAAATGAGAAATATAGCAGTAGATAACAACCAAGCTTACACTTATTTTGCGACTAATATCGTTTCTTAAACTGGCAGTTAAAAGACCCTAATCACAACATTAAGTAAAAGCATACATGATCACTTGCGAAGGATTGTTCCCGGATGGAGAAGAGCTTGAGTTTGGTCGGCAAGCAAGAGCTGAACTTAGTAAGATCCTCAGAATGCAATTACTTCATCAAAGGTAAAGCAGCAACTGCAAGATCTTGCCTCTGGATTGCATTAGGCTGCCTGCTCTTATCTCACTTTTGGGCTCTCATATTCTTATCTTTGTTGTAGCAGTATGTTGGGTAACTGGCGAGAGCCCTCCCCTATTGCCATATATAAGTCAGAAAATCTAGTGAATGGTACTCATGTAACAATTTTAATCTTCCTCCATGAGTGACATGTGACTAAAA